GCGGGGCTGGCTGCAGCGCTCCGCTCCTTCCTCTCCTCTCCTCCGTGGTGAACAGCGGCGCCCGGAGCCTTCGCCCGGCACTGCACGCACGGCTCACAGCAAGCGCCGCCGCGCTGCCTCTTCCGCGGACACCTCCGGTCCCCGCGGACACGGCGCCTCGACACATTCCCCTGCTACACGGCCCAGATGTTTCTTTTCGTTTGCTTCTGCAACGCCTTCTCTTCTTCGAGGAGAAGGTCGAATGCATTCTGGTCTTCAGGGCGGTTACGATCAGAATGAAGGTAGTGGCCTCTTCTTGATATCTTAGTTCTACTGCATGGCAGGTAAAATTACTCGTGTTAATCAGGCCTTAAATTATTTATAAATATTACACCTTCTTGCAGAACGATATTCACTTCAGCGAACTGGAGAGATCATTCTTGCACTCATTCTTGAATGGATATTTTCTTCTCTTTTCACCACTTTCATTTGTACATTCATTTATAATTATTGTTGTCGTTCCAATGTCAACAACTGATACAAATCATTTCCCCCTGTAAGGGTGCATCACCAAGAAATAAACAGGTCTTCAGCTCTCTGAGAAGCCTTTGCACTCACTCCACATCCGTGTTATTTAGCAAGCCAGTCTGGGCACTCACCTCTTATTAGTTTCCCCCACTATAAATGCAGTCTTGGAGATCACAACAGCAAAAGATGCTTTTTTAACTTTCATTCACTTAAATGGTTTTCCCATAAAATACCTACACATAAAACAGAAGAAAACCCCAGGACATTCACTTCGAGTGTATCAGAGAACCATGGGACATGAGCATGCCAGTGTACACAGAGGTGTAAGAAGAGGGCAGAATTTGGCATCAGTTATCAAACATGTACAATACATTCATTTGAGAAAAAGCCAAAGAAAGACTTGGGATCAGTTACAGCACTACATTAGTGCTTTCATGGAACAGCTGTTCCCACAGCACCCTTCTGCTCTTCTTTGACTTCTCCTTCATACATGGTGGTGACTTCAGTCTGCACCCTTTCACCTCAGAGACCTCTACTCCATAGGCACTTTTTGCCATATACTTTATTTTCTGGGATACATTATTGCCTCTAAGGACAGGGACACCATGACTAGAACAGAAATGGCATAGCCCTTGGCATCAGGCATGGAAAAAAGCATTCCCCAGTGAAAGACACACTGATCCAACTATTTTCCAGGCTCTAAGCCTGCTTCTCAGCCACTGTAGTCTGCAGTCACAGTCTTTATCTGCATCATGGACCACATCCTACTTCTCACTATTGGTCAGAGAAAAAAGAAAAGGCGCATATAATTTTCTGACACTTTACTGAAATAGAAATATATCTGAGTAGTTCTCTCCACAGAAGGAAATATTCAAGGTCTGGAAGGAAACTGCTCCCCCAGTCCCACCATTCTAACAGATCTTCCAATCTTTTTACGGGTCTCTGCCACACTCAAGCCCAGTTCAAACATTCACAGCAAACAAGGCAAAAGTGTGAAAATTACACAAATGAAGGATTTCACTGTCACTCTACAGATGTTCTTTTTTCATTTGCCTCAACATTAGATAGAAGTATATCCCTTGAATGTCATTCTTTTACTGAGGATATGTTTGAGGTTCTGTGGGGAGAAAATTTAGAACGGCCAAAGCCCAACTGGAGCTCAAGCTGGCTACAGCTCTTAAAGACATCAAAAATGATTTTATAAATCCATAAACAAGAAAAGGAGGACCAAAGACAAGCTCCATCTTTTACTGGATGTGGAGGGAAAACACATTGACAAGACATGATCTCCCTAATGCGTTTTTGGTCTCAGCCTTTAGCAACTTACTAAACTACTTAGACAGATGCAAGTCTATGGGGCCAGAAAGGGTCCACCCAAGGGTACAGAGGGAGCTGGTGGAAGTGCTCACCAAGCCACTTTCCAATATTTATTTGAAGTCACAGCTATCTGGAGAGGTCCCAGTTGTCTGGTGGCTAGCAAATGTGATGCCCGTCTACAAGAAGGGCCCAAAGGACAATCCGGGAAACTACAGGCCTGTCAGTGCTGGGGAAGCTTGTGGAACAAAACAGCTTTAGTGCCATCACGTGGCACTTACAGGGTAACCAGGTGATCAGGTTCAGTCAACAGGGCTTAATGAAAGACAGGTCCTCCCCTTCATGAATCTGATCTCCTTCTGTACAAGGTGACATGCCAAGTAGATGAGGGAAAGGCTTTGGATCTGGTCTACCTTGACTTCAGTAAAGCTTTTGAACACTCTTTTGCACAGAATTCTCCTGGAGAAAATGGCTGTTCATGGCTTGGACAGGTGGGCACTTTACTGGCTTAAAAACTGGCATGTTAGTCAAGCCCAAAGAGTCACTGTGAATGGCGTTAAATTGAGATGGAGGTCGGTCTTAAGTGGTGCCCCCCAAGACTCAATATTGGAGCCAGTTCTCTTCAGTTTCATTTGTCAATGACCTGGATAAGGGGACTCAGTGCACCCTCAGCACATTTTCAGATGACACCAAGTTAATCACAAATGTTGATCTGCTCAAGGGTAGGAAGGTCCTACAGATGTATCTGGATAGGCTGGACCAATAGGACGGGGCCAGCAGCATGTGGTCCAACAAGGTTAAGTGACAAGTCCATTGTTTGGGTCAGAGTAATTCCATGCAGTGCTACAGGCTGGGGGAAGACTGGCTTAAAAGATGGCTAGACATAAGGGATCTCTGAGTATAGCTTGATAGCTGGCTAAATATGAGCCAGCAGTGTGTTCTGGAGGCCAAGAAAGCCAACAGCATCCTGAATTGTATCAGAAATAGTCTGGCCAGAGGGACTAGGAAAACGGTTGTCCCTCTGTACCCATCTCTGGTGAGGCTGCAAATCAAATGCTGAGTTCACGTTTGGACCCGTCACTACAGGAAGGTTATTGAGGTGCTGAAGCAGGTCCAAAGAAGGGCAATGGAGCCACTGAAGTGTCAAGAGAACAGGTCTTAATAGGAGCGGATAAGGGAGCTGGGGTTGTCTAGCCTAGGGAAAAGGAGGCTCAGGGCAGATATAAACTTCCTTTATGATTACCTTAAAGGGGCCTACAGCAAACTGGTGATTGGCCTGTTCTCCCAAGAACCATGTGATAAAACACTAAGAAAATGCCTCGGATTGTTTCAGGGGAGGCTTACATGGGACATTAGGAAAAAAAAAATCACTGAAAGGGTTGTGAGGTTTTCATACAGGCTGCCCAGGGAAGTAGTTGAGTCACCATCCTTGGAGGTCTTCAAAAAGTATTTAGATGTAGCTCTTAGTTACATAGCTTAATGTAAGACTTGGCAGTGCTAGGTTAAAGGTTGGGATAGATGATGTAAGAGGTGTTTTCCAATGATTTTTTTCTAAATGATTCCAGGATTCTATGAACATGACTGCTGTCATAGGACATCTGTTAGAAAAGCCACTTTCAGCTGCATCCTTAAGAGGTCAGTGTTCAAAGGCTCCTCTTTCCAACAACAGACTTTCACACATGAAGAATTACCAAAATATCCCAATGTTATGATTGCCTTCCCTATTCATAACAGGCAGAAGGACTTCACCAAAAGACCAATTGCCTAGTCCACATCTTCACAACGTGCACACAGTCTTCACCATGGACAGTTCCAAAGACATTTTTTTTTTCCACCACATTAACGTGACCTAATAAAAACATTGTGAAGAGAATAAATGGTATGCAGCGAGTTTATAAACATGGATATTTTTCAGTATTCATAGTAGTAGAGCATGTAAGGTAGATAGTAGGGAAGGAATTCTCCAGAGGGCTCCCCCAAAGTTCCCCAAAAAGCTCAATAACATTTCTCAAGAAAAACCTATTCAGCAGACAGACTTCAAAGTGCATAAACCACAGCTACATGTGGAATGAAATAACTAAAACAAGTAGAGAAAGGAGTGTCAGTCCTTCTACAGCCCCTCACACAACATTCCCCCAACATGTCACTTCAAACCTTCATAACTTCAATGCATTCCTTTCATCTCTGGAATTTGCAAGCACAGATCACCAAAGGAAAAGTTGAACAGACAATTTCTCAATACCATGTAATGTGCACAATGACACCATCAAGGTATACCAATAGGGGAGGTACAGTTCTCTGCAAGTTTCTAAAGCCTTCTAAAGAGGTAAGGGATAGAGAGGAGCCATTCTCCAACAGGGACTGGGTCATCGTAAATATATCAGTAAGTAAATGCCCCTCTACTTTAAATGCATGCTCCACAGAGACATACCTCTTCTACTAAGATAATGTTTACATCCACCACCCAGACAAAAAATAAATAAATAAAAATATGGAGGAGAACACACAACTGAACTGGTATCTGCAGTCTTCTGCACTAGTTCTAACTTCATTGAAATGCGCACCTTTTGCCTTCCATGGGCAAGGCACATGAACACATAACACATTCCCCAACAAAGCTATGCTGCTATTGACAACACAACCTACATGCAGGGAAGAAACACCAGGAAAAGAAAATATTGGACCAGCAGTACAAAGAAGCATTCATAAAGAAAGTGTGATAGAGAAAATCACTGGACATATGTCACAGTCTTCTCTTTGCACAGGAAAACTCTTCCCTAAACCACCAAGAAATCACTGAGGTTTTAAGCTGCAAGCAAAGCCCTAGAGAGTTCATCTGGACTTCATTTTAAGAAATGTTCATCAGCTGTCATCTGTTTTTCCATGAGGTGGCCTGCTCATAGTCAATGAATATGAAACTGAAAAAGGAAAGGCCATACTATGGGGACCTTTCTCATGCCACGTCTCGTGACCAATGAAGACAGATTCAGTTTCAGCTTCTGTTTCATTTCCCTTATACACAAATATTTGTCTCCAGATGGCTGATAGGAACTTCTCAAGGCAGATAAGGACTTGCTGCAGTACAAACTCTGCATTTTCAAATGTAAAGGTCCTAGCCAGAAAAGGAAAATACAAACCACAACCTTCCTGGGAAAAAAAAAAGACCTGAAAATGCAATTATAGCTATGAGGAAACTCTTTGGCACAAAGTTACAATAAATAGGAGTGAAGTAATGAGGATTCTCACAGGTATTATAAGCCATAATACACAGGCATCATAACACCACATGCACAGTTTTTCTGAAAACCATTTTATTACCAGAGAATTAAAGTTACCTTTCAGGGCAAGAAAACCAGGATAAAATGGTGCATAAATGCTGCAGGAATTGGCACAAATTATGACGTCAAACCTTTCAATGATACTGAACCACTTATTTTCCACATTAAAAAACTAAACCAAACCAAACAAAACAAACCACCAAACAACCAAAAACCTCTCACCATCTTTGCTCTGCATTCACAGCATTCATTTGCACCACTCACAACATCCAAATTCTAGCCATATGGAGGCCACTGGCAAGAGCATTTCATCCAGTGACATTTTAAGGAAACATGAGGATATTAAAGACTGTCCTAACAGCACTAAACGGACACACTGGGAATGGAAACAGCTCTCCCACTCCCATAAATCAAAACAGATCTTTCAGTCTTTTCAGGGTTCTCAGAATTTTGTCATTGACAACAAACAAAGTAAAAATGTGAAAAAGAAAAGGAACAAGAAAATAGGACAAGAATCCGATCTCAAACTTCAAGCAACATTTTTAAACCTAGTCAAATATTATGCAGCACAAATTAAAGCCTAAAACGACATGTTACCCAGGCCATTATTCCACCACACACACTGAAACAGCAGCACAGAAGAATATAAAGACATTTCTCTGCTCAAACCATCTTCATGCAGCAAGAGAACAGTTGCACAGAGTAGAAAGGAAAAGCAGCTAAGTGAAACATGAGGTCCTTGAATACTGATTTAAGACCATCCCAATCCACTAAAACACTGTACAGGCATCCTCATTCATTATTAGAATTCACTATTGGAATTTGCTGTTACTGAGAATAGTGAGTGCTGAATGGGTTAATGGAAAGATGCATCTTGCCTTCCAGATATTCTAACATGGAAAGGAAAATTCCACCTATTCCCTCTACAGAGTGAGGCCCATGAAAGCATATAACATTCCTCAACAAAGCTGTGCTGTTACTCATAAATCAACCTACACACCTTGTCTTCTCTGCATGCAGAAAAACACATCCCTAGAGCACCAAGAAATTTCTTAGCTCTTAGGTCTTCCTCTCCACTGTACAGTAGGAGACATCATAGTAAGAAAAGCTGATCAGCTCTCACCAGTTCTTCCATGCTGTGCCCTGCTAATATCAAATGAAAATGAAACTATAAATGTAAATGACTTACTATGGGGCCTTTTCTCATGACAAGTCTTGTGAGCAATTGGTTTCCCTTATATGCAACATCTTGTCTCCAGATGGCTTATAAGACCTTCTCAAGGAAGAGAAGGATTTGCTGCAATAGAAACTTTGCATTTTCAAATGTAAAAGTCCTCTCAAAAATGAGAAATACGAAGCACAACCTTCATTGAAACAAATGCTCAAAAATGGAATTACAACTAGGAAGAAATGCTACACCCCAATGCAGATAGGGTAGACTAATGAGAATTTTCAAAGATATTAGGAAGTATTATACTAAGAAATCATACCTCTGCATACACAGTTTTTGTAAAGAACATTTTGACATCAGAGGATTAGCGTTGCCTTTCAGGGCAGCAAAACCAGGATCGAATGGTCAATTATGCTGCAGGCATTCTCAAAATTATAAAATCAAACATGCTACAGAAACTGCCATTCACAATCAAATCATAGGACAGGAATCCAATCTCACGCTTCATGCAACATTTTCAATCCTAGTCAAATATTATGCAGCACAAATTAAAGCCTAAAAAGACACGTTACCCAGGCCATTATTCCACCACACACACTGAAACAGCAGCACAGAAGAATATAAAGACATTTCTCTGCTCAACCCATCTTCATGCAGCAAGAGAACAGTTGCACAGAGTAGAAAGGAAAAGCAGCTAAGTGAAACATGAGGTACTTGAATATTGTTTCAAGACCATCCCAATCCACTAAAACACTGTACAGGCATTCTCAATCATTATTAGAATTCACTATTGGAATTTGCTGTTACTGAGAATACTGAGTGCTGAATGGGTTAATGGAAAGATGCATCTTGCCTTCCAGATATTCTAACATGGAAAGGAAAATTCCACCTATTCCCTCTACAGAGTGAGGCCCATGAAAGCATATCACATTTCCTCAACACAGCTATGCTGTTACTCATAACTCAGCCTACCCAGGTAGACAAAAGACTAGGAAAAGATAAAATCAGACAAGCAAAAAAAGCATTCAAAGAGAAATTGTGGTAGAGAAATTCACAGGAAAGACGGCATGGTCTTTTCCGCATTCAGGAATAGGAGTTCACGTGCAGCAGAGCTGACGTCAAAAGCCCGCGCTCATGTTCGACTTTCCACATTACCTTTCAGAGTTACCCAAAACCCACTGCCTAATGAAGCTGAGCCTTGCTCAGCACCAAACCTCCCCGGCCGGGAAGGAGAGCAGGGAAGGAAAGGCAAGGAGCAGGAAGGGAGGCAAGCGCCGAGACGGAGGGCGTCGGGGTGTCCGGAGCGACTGACTCACCGGGAGGGCGTCGGGCGGGGCGCCGCGGGCGCCGGCAGCGTCTTCCCCGAGCAGCGGCGCGGCCTTGTCGGGCGGCGGCCGCGCCGGGAGCGTGTTGCAGCAGCTGTCGGCCGCCCAGCGCCGCTGGCTCTTGCGCGAGTCGGCCGTGAGCGACACCTCGTGCGAGTAGGAGTGCAGGAAGGCGCGGACGCCGTCGATGCCCACGAAGTGCGAGGCCGGCACGCCGCGCAAGGCGCCGCTGGCCGGCGGCAGCAGCTGCGAGCGGCGCCAGCGCCGCAGGCGCAGCGCCAGCAGCAGCAGCAGGAAGGCGACGAAGAGGCACGACACGGCCGCCACGGCCAGCACCAGCCAGCGCGTCAGGCTGCCGCCGGGCTCGGCCGGCGCCGCCGCGCTGCCCAGCTCCGACAGCAGCTCGGCCACGCTCTCGGCCAGCACCACCGTCAGCGTGGCCGTGGCCGACAGCGCCGGCCGGCCCTGGTCCTTCACCACCACCACCAGGCTGTGCCTGGGCGCGTCGCGGGCCAGCGGCGAGCGCGCCGTGCGCACCTCGCCGCTGTGCAGCCCCACGCGGAACAGCCCCGGCTCCGTCGCCTTGGCCAGCTCGTAGGACAGCCACGCGTTCTGCCCCGCGTCCGCGTCCACCGCCACCACCTTGGCCACCAGCGCGCCGGGCTCCGCCGAGCGCGGCGCCAGCTCCACGCCCGTCCAGCCCGCGCCCGCCGCCGCCGACGCCGCCGGCGGGTACAGCACCTGCGGCGCGTTGTCGTTCTCGTCCACGATCAGCAGCCGCACCGACACGTTGCTGCTCAGCGCCGGCGCGCCGCCGTCCTCCGCCCGCACCCACAGCCCCACCTCGCGCACCTCCTCGTAGTCGAACGAGCGCAGCGCGTACAGCGCGCCCGTCTCCGCCTGCACCGACACGTAGGACGACAGCGGCGCGCCCCGCACGCGCCCCTCCGCCAGCCGGTAGCGCACGCGCGCGTTCTGCCCCCAGTCCGCGTCCCACGCCCGCACCGTCAGCACCAGCGCGCCCTCGGCGTTGTTCTCGGGCAGACGGGCGCTGTAGCGCGCCTCCGCGAACACCGGCGCGTTGTCGTTCACGTCCAGCACGCGCAGCACCAGCACCGCGCTGCTCTGCAGCGACGGCGACCCACCGTCCGACGCCCACACCGTCACGTTGTACTCCGACACCTCCTCCCGGTCCAGCTCCCGCGCCGTCACCACGCTGTAGTAGCTGCCCACCGAGCTCCGCAGACGGAACGGCACGTCGCCGACCAGCGAGCACCGCACCTCGCCGTTGGCGCCCGAGTCGCGGTCTTGCACGTGCAGCAGGGCCACCACCGTCCCCGGCGGCGCGTCCTCCGAGATCTCGCTCAGCGCCGACGACACAGTCAACTGGGGCGCGTTATCATTTACGTCGGTCACCGAGATGGAGATTGTAGCTGTGTCGAAAAGGCCGCCGCCGTCTTGTACCTGAGCCTCCATTTCGTAGGAGTCACCTTCCTCGAAGTCCAGGCTCCTCACCAGTCTGATCAATCCCGTCTCGGGATCCAGGTCAAGTACCTTCGAAGCTTTCGTGGAAATTTCTTTAAAGGAGTATTTCACGTTAGCGTTGATTCCTTCGTCGGCGTCGGTGGCCGTGAGGGTGAGCAGGGTGGAGCCCACGGGCACGTCCTCGGGCACGCGCACCGCGTACACCGCCTGGCTGAACACGGGCGCGTTGTCGTTGGCGTCCAGCACTGACACGCGGATGCGCGCCGTGCCCGTCCGTGCCGGCTCGCCGCCGTCGCTCGCCCTCAGTACCAGCTCGTGAAACGCCGCCTCCTCCCGGTCCAGCGCCTTGGCCAGCACCAGCTCGGGACGCTTCTCGCCGTCGGCTCCCACCTGCACGGACAGCGAGAAGTGCTCGTCACTGCTCAGCTCGTAGCTCTGCAGGGAATTCACTCCCACGTCCGGGTCGTGAGCCTTAGAGAGGGAAAACCGGGACCCAGGGGCAGTTATCTCGCTCATTCTCAGTTCCTTTTCTGCTTCTCCGAACGTGGGGGCGTTATCGTTAATGTCTGTTATTTCCACTTCGATCTCGTAAACCTTCATCTCGCCCTCCACGATCACCTCACAGCGCAGCACGCATCGCTGCACGCCCTCGCACAGCTGCTCTCTATCTAGCCTCTCCGCCGTCATCAGGTGGCCGCTGTTCGCATGCAGAGCAAAATACCGCGTTCTACCTCGGTCCAGGATACAGGCGCCGCGGTCGCGGATCGTTGCCAGCTGCAGCGCCAGGTCCTTGGCCACGTCGCCCACGAAAGAGCCCTTGGGCAGCTCCTCGGGCACCGAGTAGCGCAACTGCCCCCACGCCGCCTCCCACGCTGCCACCAACACGCAACACAGCAGCGCTCGCTTCCTCCGGCCCCAGCGCCCTTCTCTCGCAGTCCACATCTCCGCCACGGCCCTGCCACCACCGGACGCTCGCCGAGAGCTCCCCGCCGCCGCCCCTACTCTTCTCCTCTGGCTCCGGATCAGTTTGTCGCTCCCGCTTCGTTTTCTTTTTCCGGCTCCGGCCCCGCCGCGGCCCGCTCTCGCCGGCTCCTCCGCCTCGTTGCACCACGGCTCTGCACTGCGGGGCCGCTCTCAGCCCGCACGGCCGCCGATACAGCGAGAGAGCGAGCGAGCCGGGTCGCAGCGGGAGGGGCTGGCTGCAGCGCTCCGCTCCTTCCTCTCCTCTCCTCCGTGGTGAACAGCGGCGCCCGCAGCCTCCGCCCGGCACTGCACGCACGGCTCACAGCGAGCGCCGCCGCCCTGCCTCTTCCGCGGAAACCTTCGGCCCCCGTTGACGCGGCGCCACGGCACATTCCCCTGCGTCATGGCCCAGATCCGGTGCCTTTGTCTCCGCAACACTTTATCTTCTTCGAATAGAAGAATATCGAATGCATTCTGGTGTTCAAGACCATCATGAGCACAGTGAAAGCAGAGGGTTCCTCAGGAATTCTTTCACCGCTTGGCAAGTAGAATTGTTCGTATTAATTTGACCTCTAAATAGTTTTTAGACTTAACTCAATATTGCAGAAGTACCACGTCCTCCATGAGTTCCAAACTTTATTTTTGCCACCATTCTGGACTGAAACTTTCCTCAGGTCTTCAGCAATGTATGACCATGTAAATTCAATGTTCAAATGTAATTTGTGTTGTTGTTCCTATGTCATCAACCAATATGAAACAGTTCCCCCTGTAAGAGTGCAGCATCAAGGAACCAGCAGCTTCCTGACTAGGCTGTGCACCCAACTCCAAATCCCTGCTATTGAGAAAAAGTCTGGGCACTATCCACTGATCAGTCTCCCCCTACTATAACTGCAGTATTGGAGAGCACAACAGCTGAAGATTCCTCTCTGTACTTTCATTCACTTAAATGGATTTCCAGAAAAATGCCTACCCATACAGAAAAAGAGCATTGCACTTGGCATTCAATGTGGAGGTAGCAGAGACCCACAGGAGATGACTATGGTATTGTATATGCAAGTGTAAAATGAAACAAGTACTTGGGATCAGTTATGAAAGATGCTTAAGTACATCCATTTGCAAAAAAAAAAAAAAAAAAAAAAAGAAAATTCTCCAGCAGTAAGCATCAATCATATTTTCATCATGACATCATACAGACTGGCAGGTTCTCTGTTGCCAGTCTTCCAGGAGATGAGAACATTCCACAGGTATCTGGCATTGGCCAGAAGCACTCCACACCTGTTTGTACCACTTTCCTCTGTGTAACCATCGTCCCATTGGAGGATCATACATAATGGGTCTATGCATTGCTTCAATACCTCCTGATATCATTGAAGGCAGCAATGGGTAGGAAATCATTTCTGTCCTTTACACAGCTTCCTTCCTGCAAAGCAGTAGTTCAGTCTCTCTCGGTTCTTTCTGATTCTAAACATAAGGAAACAAAAACTTCCAGCGGACCTATGTGAAGCAAACATTTCACTACAGGTAGGAAATCACACCTATCTTCTCTGCAATTTCCTTCCTGCAATATACTAGGTCATCTCTCTCAGCCAGGATACCTGCTTCCACAACACCCTTCTGCTCTTCTTTCTCTTCACCTTGTGTCACATGGTGGTGACTCCAGATGCACCTTTTCATCTCAAAGAACTGCCCAATATAGGCTCTTTTTGCCAAATATTTTATTCTCAGCAAAGCATCATAGCCTCTAAGGACAGGGATACCATGATCAGAACAGAAATGGTGCAGACCTTGGCATCAAGTATGGAACTAAAGCGTTCCTCATTCAAAGCCACAATGACCCAACAATTTTCCTGACTCTAAACCTGCTTCAGCCTGTGTATTCTACAGTCACACACTTTATTTGCACCTTGGACAACATGCAACTTCTTGACATATCTCAGACAAGAAAGAACAGGTCATAACAAGTCCTTGACATTTTATTGAAAGAGCAATATATCAAAGTATTTCTCTCCACATGGAAACATTCAAGGTCTGGAAGGAAACTGCTTCCACAGTCCTGCAGCTCTAACCTATCTTCCAGTCCTCTAGGATTCTCTGCCACACTGAAGTACAGTTGAGACAGCAGCAGTAAACAAGGCAAATATATATATATATTGAAAACTAAAGATGTAAAGGACATCACTGTAACTATACAGACATCCTTTTTTGATCTGCCCTAACATTATGTACAGTGAATTTCAAAAGATGCACCTGCAACACTCAGGACAACTATAAAGATGTTGTGAGGCTGTGCAGGAAGACAATTGGAAGGTCTGAAGCACAACAAGAGCTAAATCTGGCTACTGCTCTTAAAGACAATTAACAGGCTTAATAAATAGATAAAAAAGAAAAGGAGGACTAAGTAGAATTCCTTATTGGATGTGAGGAGAAACATACTGACAAGAGATCATTAATGCCTTTTTGGCCTCAGTTTTTAGAAGCAAGACCATTATTTCTCTGGGTATCCCGTCCTCTGACCACCTGGTAGACAGGGACAGGGAGCGGAATGATGGCTCATAATCCATAAGGAAATGATAAATGACCTATGAAGGCACTTAGACATATGCAAGTCTATGGGTCCAGCAGGGATCTACCCGAGGGTACTGAGGGAGCTGGTGGAAGTACCCACCAAGCCACTTTCCATCATTTATCAGAATTCTTAGATACTGGGAAAGATCCTAACCAATAGCTGGCTAGCAAATGTATGCCCATCTACAGGATGTTCTGGAAGGAGGATCCAGGGAACTACAGGCATGTCAGTCTGACTTCAGTGCTAGGAAAGCTCATGGAGCTGATTAACTTGAATGCCATCACTTGGCACTTACAGGACAACTGGGCAATCAGGCCCAATCAGCATGAGTTTATCAAAGGCAGGTCCTCCTTGATGAACATGATCTCCTTCTATGACAAGTTGACATGACAGTGGGTGAGGAAAAGGCTGTGGATATAATCTACCTTGACTTCACTAAGGCTTTTGAACACTCTTTCCTGCAGATTTCTCCTGGAGAAACTGACTGCTCATGGCTTGGACAGGTGTACGCTTCGTTGGCTTAAAAGCTGGCTGGGTGTGCAGGCATAAGGTGTTGAAGTGAATGGAGTTAAATCCAGTTTGAGGCTGGACACTCGTGCTGTTGCCCAGAGCTCAGTATAGGGGCCAATTCTCTTCAGTATCTTTATCAATATCTAGACGAGGGGATCAAGTGCACACTGTACGTTTTCAGATTACACAAAGTTAGTCATGAGTGTTGATCTGCTCAAGGGTACAAAGGCCCTGCGAATGGATCTGGATAGGCTGGTCCAATGTGCCAAGTCCAGCAGTATGTGGTTCAACAAGGCTAGGTGACAGGACCTGTACTTGGGGCACAGAAATCCCATGCAATGCTTCAGGTGGGGGAAAGAGTGGCTGGAAAGCTGCCTAGGAGAAAGGAAACTAGGGGTGTTAGTCAAGAGCTGTCTGAATATGAGCCAGCAGTGTGCTCAGGTGGCCAGGAAGGCCTACAGCATCCTGGCTTGTATCAGCAATAGTCTGGCCAGAGTAAAGTGATTGTCTCTCTGTACTTGGCTCTGGTGAGGCAGCACCTCAAATACTGCATTCAGTTTTGGGGCCCTCACTACAGGAAAGAAATCAAGGTGCTGGAGATGGTCCAAGGAAGGGTAATGGAGGTGTTGAAGGGTCAAGAGAACAAGTCTTATAAGGAGCGGCTGAGGGAGGGGTTTATGTTTTTTTTTTCTTCTTCTTTTTTTAGCCTAGAGAAAAGGGGACTCAGAGAAGTCTTTATCATGATCTACACTTACCTTAAAGTAGAGCTTCAGCAAGGTGGGGATGGGCCTGTTTTCCTAGGCAGCAAGTGATAAGAGGATGGGAGATGGTCTCAAATTGTGCCAGGGGAGGTTTAGGTTAGATATTCGGAAAAAAAAATCCCGAAAGGAGTTGTGAAGTATTGCAACAGGCTACCCAGGGATGTAGTAGAGTCACCATCATTGGAGGTCTTCAAAAAGCATGTAGACATGAAGCTTAGAGACACGGTTTAATGGTAGATTTGGCAGTGCTATGTTGAAAGTTGGGCTAGATGATCTAATAAGTCCTTTTCAACCTAAGCGATTCCAGGATTCTATGAACGCAGCTGTTGTCATAGCACGTATCTGCTAGCAAAGCCACTTCTAGCTCCATTCTTGAGAGGTCAATGTTCAAGGGCTCCTCTTTCCACCAAGAGACATCGACATATAAAGAATTCCCAAACTACTCCCAGCTGTTGTGATTGCCTTCCTTCTTCACGACAGCTAGAAGGACATCATCAAAGGACCAATTGTCGAGTGTGTTTCTTCATAATGTGCACAAGGACTACACCATGGACAGCTCCAAACATTTTTTTTTTCATCACATAAACACAACATAATAATATATTTTTTTAAGAGAATAAATGGTATTCGGCTAGTTTATACACACAGACATTTTTCAGTATTCATAGCAGTAGAGCATGTAAGGCAATAGTAGGGAAGGAATTCCCCAGAAGACTCTCCCATGGTTCCCAAAAAAGCTCAATAATATTTCTCAGGTAAAACCTATTGAGCAGACAGACTTCAAAGAGCGTAAACCACAGCTTTGTGGGGAATGGAATAATGAAAACAGTCAGAGAAAAGAGCATCTATCCTTCTACAGCCCCTCACACAAAATCTCCCCAACATATTACCTCAAACCTTTCACAGCTTCATTGTTTTTCTTTCACCCCTGGAATTTGCAAGCAAATGTCACCAAAGGACAAGTTCAACAGACCATTTCCCAATACCAATCACTGTGTACAACCACACCACCAAGGTATACTAAGAAGGGAGGTACATTTCTCTGCAAGTTTCTAAAGCATACTAAAGAGATAAAGGGAAAGACAGAGAGGAGCCGTTCTCCAACAGACACTGGGTCATCATAAATATATTTGTATATATTTCTCAACACATATATGCAACAAAATTTCAAGCAATGAAGCCATGACACAGCTGTTGCAATAGCATGTGCCAGCTACCAAAGGCTCTTAAATTCTCTAGAGATCAACGTTCACACATTCTTTCCTGCAACAGCCTTTCAGACATAGTACACCTTGAATGGAATATTTATGATCATCTTTCTGATCTTGATTACAGAAAAAGGAACATTTCTGTCCTGGGAAGATCTTCATGAAGTAAAAGATATAATGGGCAGACTATACAGAAAAAGCAGCCAAATGAAACATGGGGACACTGAGATTCTTTTGAAAACAACTTCAAACTGCTCATCAAGCACATGGGCAATTGGGATGATAT